TTATTTTTACAACAAAAAATATTTTTTTTTTTACTTTTTATCTTTAATATTTTATATTATTAAAAAAAAAAAAAATTTTAAAAGATTGTCAATTTTAAAAGTAATAAAATAATAGAAATAAAAATAATAAAAATAAAAATTATAATAATTATTATTTAATTTTTTTTTTTTTTTTGTATTTTTAATAAAAAAATAATTATTTAAAATAATATTTTTAAATAATAATTCTATTTCAATCAATAAAACTCATATTAAACAATCAATTACAAATCGATTAAAAATATAATTTTCTAAAAAAAAAAAAAAAATATAATCTACTGAAAATATAATAATAATAAAAAATATCTAAACTTTTAAAAATGCTATTTGGTAAATATTATTATTTATTATTTATTTATCTTTATTTTAATTTATTAACAATTAAAATTGATCATGTATTACAGATTCATTAAAAAACATTACCTTTTCTTCTTTAAAAAAAGTAACAGTAGAAATAGAAAATAAAAGTGGTTTTAATCAATTTGAAAACAATATCAATAGTAATGCCATATATTTTATACCTCAAAAAGTTGGTGTTTCAAAAAGAGTTTTAAGAAGACCCTATTATCCATAATTTTATATTCCAAACCAAAATATGTACATTTATAAAAAATAAAAAAAAAGAAATTTTTCAAAATTATGCTCAATTATCTTTTTTTTTTAAATTTTAAATTATCTTTATTTTTTTTCATTGCTTTACTTTTTTTTCTCATATTAAGTTAAACCAAAAAACCATATCTTTAGAAGATTCCGGATTTCTTTAAAGGTCATTTAATTAGATTTTATTTTTATTTTTGGGAATGAGAAATGGGAATTGGAATATGGTTAAATTACTAAAAAATAAATTATGGGATTTTAAAAAAAAAACCATAATTTTTAAAAAAAAAGTTAATTAAAAAAAAAACTATAAATTAAATTTTTTTTTTTTTATATCAACATTAAATAAATAAATAAAAAATATACAAATAAAATTTTAATAATAAAATGTCAATCAAAGAAAATTTAGAAGAAATTATCAAAGGTATTCAAGAATCAAGAATTTTAGAAGGTAAAAATAAAATATAAAATAAAAAAATAAATTATATTTTTTTAGCTAATAATAATTCTATTTTTTATATGACCATAGTTTTTGATAAATACTACCACGATGATGTTGTTATGTACGAAAAAGGTGACTCTACCAATCGTGTTGGTAAAGCTGCCAATCGTAAAGCTGAAGAAGGTTTTGTAACCAACGCTGTTATCTCTGAAGCCAAAGTCCTCAAAGTTCTCGTCGATGGTAATAACACTGCCTATGAAATGTTTATGAAATTTACCTATGGTGGTCATCCAGTTGAAAAATCTCAATGGGCATTACAAGAATGGAAAGATGGCAAAATCATCAAAGAAGAATTCTTTTAAACTTAAAAATGTGAAATAAAAAAATTAAAAGTCATAATTAAAAAAAAAAAGAAATAAATAAATGAATAGAAACAATTATTTTAAAATTTTTAAAATTTTATTTTTTTATTTTAACAGCAAAATAGGAAACTTTGAGAATCCTTGTTGGTTCTATAATAAAAGAAAAAAAAAAAAAATTTAGTTAATAAAATATAAAAAATAATGTAAAATAGCTATTTTAATACTTACAACCCTAAATATGAGAAAGTTATGAAACAGAAATACACTGAATGGCAATGTAAACTGTCTATAAACTTTTAGGGATACCTAAAAGCTATTGGGTATTATATGAGAAAGCTATGAAATCCATTTAAAAGATTATCTCCAAATTTAACAAAGAGGTAATCATTATGTGTTTTTTTTTCTTTATATTAAATGCGAAATTAATTAAGACACACAATTAACAATCAAAAAAATAAAAAATAAAAAATAAAAAACAAAAAATTAAAAAAATTAAAAAAAAAAAAAAAAAAAAAATTTTTTCAATTTCATTCCTTTTTTTTTTTATATTTATTTTTTAAATTATTTTAAATATACACAATATTATAAAATGAGCCAAAATTTCAATTTTCAAAATATGAATCTCAATAAACTTCCAAAATTACCAAAAGGTGGTTTTGGTGGTGGTTTTGGTTTTGTAATTCTTGGTGGTTTAGGTTTATTAGCTTTAGATTCATTAGTCAATGGTAATATTATAAATATAATAATTACAATTACAAAACTATAGCAATTACAAAAACTATAGCGCAATTAAAACAACAATAAAAATAATAAAAAACAAAATTGTAAAAAAAATACTTGATACTAATTTTAAAACCAATTTTCATAAAACTAAATAATAATAATTATAATCATCATCATCATCATCATCATTTATTATCACTATTAATATTATAGTCGAAGGTGGTCATAGAGCAGTTGTATTTAGTAGACTTAGTGGTATTCAAGAACAAGTACTTAATGAAGGTACACACATTCTTATTCCATGGATTCATCGTGCAGAAATTTATGATGTAAGAGCAAAACCAAGACAAATTTCATCATTAACTGGTAGCAAAGATCTTCAAATGGTCAACATTACTGTAAGAGTTTTATCAAAACCAAGAATTGCTGCACTTCCAGCTATTTATAGAACTTTAGGTAAAGATTATGATGAAAGAGTTTTACCATCAATCGTAAACGAAGTTTTAAAAAGTATTGTTGCTCAATTCAATGCCTCCCAATTAATCACTCAAAGAGAACAAGTTAGTAGATTAATTTTCAAACGTTTAATCGACCGTGCTAGAGATTTTAATATTGAATTAGATGATGTTTCAATCGTATGTATTGGTTTATATTTTAATAGCACACACTATCATTATTAGTTTAAACTAATATAACATTTTATTACATTTTTAGACCCATTTAAATTTTGGTAGAGAATATGCCGCTGCTATCGAATCAAAACAAGTTGCTCAACAAGAAGCTGAAAGAGCTCGTTTCTTAGTCGAAAAAGCATTACAAGATAAAAGAAGTATTATTGTTAAGGCTGAAGGTGAAGCTCAAGCTGCTAAACTTATTGGTGATGCCATTAAACAAAATCCATCATTTATTCAACTCAGAAAACTTGAAGTAATTATTTTAACCATTTTATCATTATCAAATGTTTATCATACTAACCATTTATTTAATTTTTTTAGGCCTCAAGAGAAATTTCTTCAATTATTTCAAAATCACAAAATAAAGTTTTTATCAATTCAGACACCCTCCTTTTAGACACAGTTAATGAACAAGATGAACAAAAATAATTTTATTAACTATTGGTTATATATAATTAAATCATTTTTTTTTTAAATAAAATATAAAGAAATTTACAATAAACTATTATTATGTCTCAATTGTCAATTTATTTAATATTATATAATAATTCAAACTGAAAAAAAAAAAGATTTTTTAGTTTTTTTTTTTTTTTTTTTTATTTCGTAAAACTTTATCTTATTTATTTTCATGAAAAATAAAATTTTAAATAAAGAATTACTTATTGTTTAATTATTTTTTATTTTTTTTTTTTTTAAAATTATTTTGTTTTTTCTAAAAGGTAAATATATTTAAAATAATTTTTAAAGGAATTAAAAGCACAAAGGAAAAGGTGATTTGGTAGTGGAATAAATATATAAACTGAGAAATATATATATAATTATTTATGATATGTTTAGTTGGTATCAGCAGCAGAGGTAGTAGCGGCGGTATCTGGGGTATGTTCTGGAACTAAAGCAATTTTAACAGAGATTTCTCTTTCACCATCGACTTTTTGTTTGTGGAGAGCTAAACCTTTTTGTTGGTTGGCAGAATCTTCAAATTCGACAAAACCAAAACCTTTGCTCTTGCTGGTGGCTTTGTTGAAGATAATGTGAGCTGATTTTGGACTGTATTCTTTGAAGGCTTCTAATAATTTAGCATCATCGAATGAGTATGGAATGTTTCTAACAAAGAGAGTGGTTGATGATTGTTGTCTATCAGCGGTGTTGGCAGCTGGTTTTCTTTCTCTATGTTTTCTTGTTTTAGCGGATGATGTGGTGCTTGGTGAAGCGGCAGCTGGTGATTCAGTAGTAGTACTTTCAGTGGCAGAGGTGATGATTTCAGCAACTTCATCTTTTCTGTCTGATGGTTTGGTGTTACGTCTGGTGGTATTACGACGACGGGCTGGTTTGTTGCTGGTGGTAACAGTATCTTTGCTTTCAGTGGTGGCGGTGGTTTCGGCAGCATCTTTCTTTTCACCTGATGGTCTGGTGGTTCTTCTTGGACCACGGTTTGAGTTTCTTCTGGTTGAAGTTCTCTTTGGTTTTTCAGTGCTTCTTTCACGAGCTAATTCGACGGTGACGGCTTTGCCATCGATTTCTTTGCCATTGACTGCAGCGATAGCTTTGTTAGCAACTTCAAGATCTTCCATATCAACAAAACCAAAAGTGTTTTCTTGGTATCTTTTGCTAATGATTCTAACACTTAAAACTTTACCAAATTCAGCGAAAGCTTTTTCGAGTTCTTCTTTTTCAACGTTTTTGGTTAAGTTACCAACAAAAATTCTGAAGGCTGGGGTGGTTGGGTTAGTGGTTTCGGTTGACATTTTGGGTGGAATAGGAAAGCAAGTCTTCACACGAAAGTATGGGAAATACGAATGGGGAAAAAAAAAAAAAAAAAGATTTAATTACGAAAAATAATTAAACAAATAATATGTTATGACAAAATATATGTATATAAATTAAATATAATGTTTGAAAAAAAAAAATTTTCAATTTTTTAAAAAAAAAAAAAAAAAAAAAAAAAAAAAAAAGAAAAAAAATTTAAAAAAAATTAAAAAAAATATAGAAAGTTATTTTTTTATTTTTTTTTTATTTTTTTTATTTTTTTTTTCTTCCAGATTAATTTAAATACTAGTTTAATTTAAATTTTAAAAGGAGGTTAAGAAAAAAAATTTTGTGGGGGTTTATTTTTATTTTTTGTGTGGGTTTATTTTTGTCATGTTGGAATTGGATTTTTTTATTTATTTAGGAATATATTTCAAATACTGAAATTATAATTTCTTTAAAGAATAGTTTGGTAGTTTAGTTTGGTTGTGTCGAATGCATCGCCCATAAAAATTACAAACACTGATATTAATGAAAGTGTGGTGGCACAAACCATCATGTACCAAGCTATATAGGGCTGGGCATAGAATGTGAAACTATCGGTTTGCTTTAAATGTAAACCATCGCTGTTTTCATCGCCACTTGCACTATTGTCTACATAACTATAGGTATAAAAAAATTTAGTATTTATATTATTACATAGATTTTTAGAGTAAAGCCTAAGACAATCTTTTTTCTTTTCGTCGTTTACACCTATAAAAATAAATAAGGATATTCCAGAACATAAAACACCAAATAATATAAGCATTTTAAAGAAAATTCTAATATATTGGTGCAGTCTGTGAGGAGGGTGATGAGTTTTTCGGAGTGTTTGATAAAATAAATATACAAGAGTTATGGCAATACATATAAATGATACACTTGCAAATGCTATTGAAAGTCTGAAGATGGTTAAATAGTTTCTATTGTTATATTCATCTTGAGAGTCATAGTATTGAATGGTGGTTGTGGTGGTTGATACTGTCGAGTTGGTATTCAGTGTTTTTAATGTTTTATATTTGTTGTATTCGTAAAAATGCTCCAAAATAACCTTACCATTTACCTTTGTTTTATCATAGTACCAATAACTCTAAATATAAAAATTTAATTATTAATAATAAACCCAATTTTAAAAATAAAAAATAAAATTTTTTTTTATAATTACAGAAAATGAAAATATAAGTGAAATCAAAGAAAATGTTAATAAAATGATTGATATAATTGATGCTTTTGGCATCTTTTTTTTTTATTTTAAAAATACAAATAGTTATAGTTATAATTATATATTTATATTTTAATATACAAAAAAATTTAAAAAAAACAAATTAAAAAAAAATTATTTAAACAATTTTTTTTTTCAAAATTTAGATTTTTTAAAAATTAAAAAGAAAAAGATTTTTTCTAAAACACCACAAAAATTAAATATAATGAATAAAAAAAATAATCCAAAAAAGATATATTTAAACCATTAATTTTAAGTAATAAAAAAAATAATTCTTTATTTTTTTGATAATTTAAATATAATTTTTTTTTTTTTTTTTTTTTTTTTTTTTTTTTTTATCAATTGGCATTGGGTTATTTAGAAAATACCACCGATTATATTAATTACAGTAGCGGCAATTGTTAATGCACTAGCAATAACCATGAATGACCAACCAAGATATGGTGTAGTGGCATAACCGTCTTCATTTTTATTAAAGCTATCAAAAAGGCCATTATCGCAAGCAACTGCACCCAATACACCATCTTCACAATCATCCTTTCTGGCACCTTGTAAACCCTATTTAAATATTAATTAATATATATTATATAAATTTATAAAGTATAATATAAATTTTTGTCTACTTACCAAAAATATAAATACAGCAAGGAAACAGAAGGCAGTACCAGCGATTAAAATAAATTTACCAAGGATATTTAAAATGGTACCAATGCATGGGATTTTCTTTAATAACCCAATAGCAGAGAGTAAAACTAAAAATGCAGCAACAACAAGTACAATAAATGCAAGGGCAGTAAAAGCTAAACTTGATTGATAGATTTTTTTCTCTTTGCTGTCCTCTGGAAGTTTTCCATATATACTGAAAAGAGTATCATCACCGTTTTTTGAGGATGTTTTAACTTTATCATACTTGTAGTATGCCATAGAATGGACAGAATCTTTATCACCAATTCTAATAGAATACCAATAGGCTATAGTATTGTAATTTTAATAAAAAAAAAAAAAATAAATGAGTAAATAATAGTAATAATAAATAAAATAATAAATAATACATACTGGATAAAGCTGCAATTGAAAAACCAATAGCAATAAGAATCAAAACGAATGAACACATGGCACTTTTCTTAACCATTTTTTTTTTATTTTTTTAAAATATATAATTTATATATTTTAGACAAGTAATTTTTTTAAATAAATAAATAAATAAATAAATGAAATATTATTACAATATTATTATAATTATTAATATAATAAAATAAAATGTTTTAACATTTATTTTTATTTTTATAGTTTTTTTTTACAAAAACATGTTTATTTTTATTGTTTTTTTTTTAAAATAGTTTTTAAATAAAACTCATATTCAAATAATTATTTAAAAAAATTATAAAGGTTATAATAGTTTTAAAATTTAAATTTTTATTTTTTTTTATTTTTTTTTATTTTTTTTTATTTTTTTTTTTTTTTACATTATTTTTCAATTCAGTTAAAACAAGAATGAAAGAAAAAAGTATGAATTCTTCTTAAAAAGTGTGGTCCAAACAAAAAAAAAGGGTCTGAAATCCTAGTTGACTTGTTTACTAAAGATTATTTATAACTACACTGCCCTAAAATGAAAATTTATGTTGGGATGATATCATATTAAATTTAGTTTTAAAAGGGGTTTTTTTGAAAATAAAAATTTAAAATTATATTTTATAAATATAACCAAACAATCAGTCTTTTTTTTTTTTTTTCTCTTTCAATTTAATATTTTTATTTAATTTTAGTTAGAGGTAAATCAATTGATTAATATGTTTTTTTTTTAATAACCTTATTTATTATTATTTTGAGGTTATCTAACCTTTATTATAATTCTAATTTTAGATATAGAATCAAAACTAATTTTAAGTGTTTTGATTTTTTTTTTTTTGTTCATATTTTTTTTTTTAAAAATGCACATTGCGCTTTTTAAAAGGATTTTTATATTACATTATTGTTTTTTATTTATTTTCTTTTTTTTTTTTTTTTTTTTTTTTTTATAAAAACAATTTAGAAAATACCACCGAAAATATTAACAATTGTTGCAATCAAAGAAGCAGCACTGGCAATAACTGTTCCAACAAAACCAATATCTGGACCATATTTCATAGCATTATTTTCACCTGTAAATTTATATTCGCAGCTAAATCCAGAGGGAAGGAACTTTATTTTTCCATTTTCACAATCTTTTTCCATTGCATTTGGCAAGCCCTATAGATAATAATAAATGAAATAAAACCTATTAGTACTGATAGTTCCAAAAAAAAAAAAAAAAAAAAAAAAAAAAAAAAAAAAAAAAAACTATTAGAATTATATTAAAAATGTTGTATAGATTAAATGAATAATATTTACATGAATAAGAAATAATTGTAAAAACAATTGCAATAATAATAAATACTAATGAAATAAGGGCACTTTTTTTTACCATTTTTTTTTTTTTTATAAAAATATATAAATAAATAATTAACTATAAAAGTTTTTTTGTTTTTGCAACTTAATGATTTTTTTTTTTTTTTATTTAAAAGCAATATTTTTATTTAAAAAAAATATAAAAAAAAATAAAATAAAATAAAAATAAAAATAAATTAAATGTTTTACATTAAAATGGTAAACCATGGCGGCCAGTATGTATAAAAAAATCTGTCTTGAAGTCTCGGTTAAACAAATTTTCAAATAACAAAAACTAAAAATAATTTTCTTTTAAAGAAATAAAAATTAAATTTTAAAAAAAACAAAAAAAAAATTAAAAAAAAATATTTATGTTTCAATTTTCACATTTTCAATTAATTTTTATTTAAAAATAATTTTTTTTTGGGTGGGAAAATTAAAAAAAAATAAAGATATTAAAGTGATTTAACACTGTGTTTTACAATAATTTCTTATTTACATGAATTTGATTTTTTTTTTTTTTTAATCCCAAAATAAATCAAATCCATTTTTTTTAAAAAAAAATGTTCTTCTATTTTTAATTAATTAATTAAATTATTTAAAAAATCGATCACGACTGCTTGTTTTTAAAAAGTTTTGTATAGGACGTTAAGTGTTATATTTTTATTTTTATGAGGGTTATTATAATATTGTTTTCACATAATTCTATATTCAATTTATATATATTTAAAATAGTAATCAATAATTTTTCCATGAATTAAAAAAAATTTGTTGTACAATTGAATAAATAAATTTTTTATTTTTGTTTTTTTTAAATAGGTAAATATTATTTACCAATTTTTTTTTTTTTTTTAATTATGTAAATTAATGATTAGGGGTTTCAGTAGTGAAAACACCACCAACAAATGACATAACTAAAGCGGCTAAAGTAAAACCAGTTGCAATTACAATTGTAATCCAAGATGTTGAAGGACCCCAGCTTGTTTTACCGGATTCACCCATAAAAGAGCCATATTCAAGAGAGCCAGTAAAATCTTTAAATGGTCCAACTTTTACGCACTCTACATCTGGGTTACTGCTATTATTTTTACAATCTTTGTATTTACCACTTGGAACACCAAGGAAAACAAACATTGAAATCATACAAAAGATTAAGCTGACAATTAATAACATTCTGCCTACCATTAGAACGATTGGTGGAAGTTTTTGTGAAACAGCTGGGATAATAGAGGCAAGGATAGTAGCAAGGGTGACAATCAAAGTAACAAAAGCTAGAACATTAAAGGCAAAGGAGGCTTGATGGAATTGCAATTGATTTTTCCAACTTTCACTAAATTGTGGTGGAATTGGGGATGATCCGCTGGTTGTTTGTCCATTTTGTTTCATAGTAATCTTGACTCTGTCAAATCTTAATTGATATTCAAACGACATGGTTTGATTGTTAAAACCAAGAGGAATATCATCAACTTTTATATATTCCCAATAAGCTAAAAAAAAAAAAAAAAAAAAAAAAATTAATATTACATTCAATTTACAATGTTATTGTATAATACAAATAAATTATAGTAGACTACATACCTGCCATAGAGATAATTGTGCATACAACTGCCAAAAAAGTTAGCACTAAAGTTACTATTGATCCGATTTTCATTTCTATCAAATATATATATTTTTAAATGATTATAATTATAATAATAAAATGATTATGTTTTTTTTAATAGATAAATTACAAAAGTAAAAAAAAAAAAAGTTAAGAAAAAAAAACTATTTATATTTTTTTTTGCATATCATAAACGTTAAATTTATATTTTTTTTTTTTTTTTTTTTTTAATTTTTATTTTTTTTATCAAACAATAAAATGTTTATTTATATTTTCGAGCATGCTGAAGGAATCTTTTATTAAATATTTATATGTAATTAATTAAATTCAAACAATTTTCAAAAAACCCCTCAACTTACTTTAAATATCTGATCATTTTAACTTTTTTTTTAAAAATTATCAGATGGTTTTTTTTTTTTTTTTTTTTTAATGCATATTTTTATGGAATTGTATACTTTTTTTTTTTTATGGTTTTTTTCATATTGTTGACTATTAA